CAGCAGAGGAAGGCAACACCAAAGCTGAGATAATCAGCGAAATAAACATTGACAGCAACCACTTGCAATACATGGTGAGTCAGAGCTTCATTGTGCTGACAACAGTTTGGACTAATTTGTATTTATTTAATGAATGCAATACCAGATTCATAAGCGAATGTCCAATATTTGTGAAATATGACTGTCAAACATTAAAAGATCCTTTTCATAAAAGTGAAACAGCTCGTGGTGGAGCAACCATGATTTAAGTTCCATAATTTCCTTTGCTGTTTTCACAGCAACTAAGCTCATTTTCTTTGGAAGGTGTGAATTTTTCCAAACGCCTAACATGTCTTCTTCAATAAAAGCTATAGAAATAGCACATATTCCCAGATTATTTGAATATGAGAGACCAGTGCCAGGTAAAGAAATACAATCCCTGAGAACCAGAAATTCCTGGAAAATGTGCAGCCTGTCTGGACACTGCAATGCTGTGGGTTGAGATTAGACTGTCAAACTGACCCGGTGTGGGTCACATACAATTGAAAGACTTCAATTGTCCACTTATGGCTTAGCCACGACAACTCAGCAAGGCAGGCCTGTCAATCTGTGGGTTTCTTTACATGTACAGAGGTCATGTGAGGTTATAATACAAACTATTTTCAGCAGAATTGCATTTGGTATTCTACAGAGGTCTTTGTAAAGAGAGGGAGTCAGCATTGTCGCCTCAGAATAGTGTAGGCTTTCTCACTCAAGGCTATGACAAAATGCTGTAAGATTGTGGATGGAACCTGCGTTTTGTCTCACATATTAGATTAATCAGTGATTTGACATCGCCCAACATTCCAACATGTATCATCCTTCTGGAAGACTAGGGCAGATGCATGGTTTTGCTTAACCAGAAAGACTATCATGAAACAATTTTGTCACTGCTCAGTGACAAAAATACTCATGACCCTGTGAAATGAGACCCAGGTAGTGGTTACCGGAAGAGGGTGATATATTGTCTGAAGTAGTCAGAACAAGAAAATGCTATTAACCCAGGGAAAGCTACGCCAAGTCTGTATAGTTTACCAAAGATACATAAACAGGGTGTACCTTTAAGACCAATTGTCTGTATGATCAATTCAATCACCTATAGCATCTCAAAGTTTCTGGCTTTGATCCTCAACCCGTTGGTAGGTAGCTATAAACACCACATCAAGAACACCCTGGTTTTGTTGAGAAGGTAAGAGATGTTATTATGGAGGATGTTACATCTCTCTTCACTTGTGTTCCAGTCACTGAAGCAGTGGTGGTAATTCGTAAGAGATTACAAGATAACTCTAATCTCAGCAACAGGACCACTCTCAGCATTGACCGAGTGTGTTTGCTTTTGGAACTGTGTCTTCATTCTACATATTTCACTACATATCGTACTGTGTATGACTGTGTACGTGACAAATAAAATTTGAATTTGATATTTCACATACAATGGTCAGTAATACAGGCCGATGGGTCTGCCATGGGTTCCCCAGTTTCACCCGTTGTGGCCAACGTGTACATGCAAGAAGTGGAAAACAGGACTCTGTTATCCTACCCTGGAACACCACCAAGTCAGTGGTTCAGGAATGTCGATGACACCTGGGTGAAAATCAAATGTGAGGACGTAACACAACTCACTGATCACATTAACTCGGTGGACAACACATCAAGTTTACCAAGCAGGAGATGGTAAGTGGCAGAGTAGCCTTCTTAGACTGAGAGATTTCCATGAGTAATTGGGGACGTTTAAAAGTTGTAAAATGTGTACCGTAAACCTGCGCATACACATCAGTATTCAAGGTTTGACTCTTGTTGCGGTTATCCCAGCTGGACATTTGTCAAAGCTGGGAAGGCACCTAAAGAAAGCTCCAGGTGACCATTGATCAATGACAATTGACCATTGATCAGTTGACATTGATCAATGGTCTTTGTCAGTGGTTGTTGATCAATGGTCTTAATAATTTGCATATTAATGGTTATGAAACTGACTTCACAACCCATTGTTTGCCAGTGGTGCCTTTTTCTGTTATTGTGCAAATACACTGTTTATAAGTTGGGGAAACCTGCAGTCAGCTGAGACTGAAGAAGTCACTTGATTGACAAATTGTTTCTCCCACTGAAAACATTACGTCCACATGAACAGAATCAACTTTTGGGGATTACAGGGGTGTGTCCTGCCTTTTGGCTTGTGACTGCTGAACAAGACTCCAGTTTCTAAACAACCCTAATTGAATTAACAAGATGGATGGATGGATTAATGGAAGAGCAGATAGATACAATAGAATGATTTTCCTAGGATTCTATACGACCAAGCATTTTTGCAACCAGAGGGGCTGCCCCTTGCTGACCATTGAAGAATATAATCAAAGAGTGGCTGTATCCACCCTGCATATAGAGTTTATGCCCCATCATCAAAAGGCCAATTTTCCAAAAGCTTATCTCTATCCCAATTAATAGGTTGCCAGTCTATGGCTGAGTAAACAGAGAGAGATAAATTAAAATATATGCACACATAGGACCAATTTTAAATCACCAGTTAACTCATTCACTGCCATTGACGTCTATAGCCGTCAATTGCAGTGAATGAGTCCATGGGTTTAACTCATTCACTGCCAATGGCTGGCAGTGAATGAGTTAATATAACAGAGACCTTTAAACTCCACACAGAAGGGCCCCAGTCATCCAGCAAATTCAAACCCAGGACCTTAATGCTGCGAGGAGGTAGTACTAACTACTGCAATACCATAAAGCTGTAAAATAAAGCAACAACGAAATAACACTGTGACTTCCCAAACTGCATTGTCATTGAGCATGCCCATAACTAAAAATGCAGGATAATTTAGACAGTTAGGTTTAAATGCTCCAAATTATTTGTAATTGTCTTCCTTATTATAGTGATGGCCAATTAAGATGTCATGTGTGTAGCTCTTCATCAGCATGCTGAAATATTTTAGTTGATCAAATGATTTATTCTTATCTTGTAACAATTGCACATTTGCTAACTCAGATATATAAAAAAGTGCATGTTCTGTATTATCTGCCCAGATATACCACTTTGGCTATAGCACATGCTAATTCAATGCAGGTTCCTCCTGATGTTGCTCACATGTGTAAAATAATATAAAAAGCAATAAAACAACAGGATTCATGAGTGACTGAGCCAAACTAGACCTCACACAATGGAAGTTGCCACTTTATCTGCTCCATTTATCCCTTTTAGGGAATAAATCTGGCTCTAATGCATGTTATCAGTACAAGAGGGATACACTGCAGTTCTTTGACCTTAAGCCTTTTAGAACATGTTCATTCATCACAATACTAGCCACTGCAAGCTTGACTGGTCAAGTCCAGTAGATGGTGACAAAAAATAAGAGAGAGTAAAAGCCAGTTGCACTAAAATTGATGTTGCTCATGGATAAGTCTGACACACAGAGCAGCAGTAACTAACAGTAATTGTCTAGAGAAATGTGCTGGATAAAATCCAGGAGATTGATAAATCTATGACAGACGATGAAAAACAAATATGCGAGTCTCATGAAGTACCTCTTTTAATACAGATGAATACGTGGTGTGGCACTCATCAGTTATGTCTGGACAACATACAGCCTATGCTAAAACATAATTGAACGTCATATATTATATACACAATGAACCAATCTGGTTTCCCCATGAAGTCATCTGTGAAATCTTTTTGATCCAGGTCTGTGCTGAACAGAGAACAAAGAAAAGCATGGCAAGGAAAATACAACCTCATCTAATCCACCTCCTCCAGCACCACAGATCTCTCATAGAGCCAGAAATTAAACAAGACACAGAGCCTGTTACAGTCTAACCTTGAAAGCAAACAGATCACATGGTCTGGCCTCACACCAGACCTGGTGCCTCATTTATTAAAAGATATTCTTACACCAAGAAGCAAACCTCAGCCAAAGTTTGGCTTCAGACAAAACTTATCTCTGTGTCAGCATTAGTGATCCATGTTAACGTTTTCATGTTGTGTGTGATGTATCAGGAGGTGAAAGTCTTATAAAGTACCATAATGTCTGCATAACCTTTGTTTCAAAACACACAGAATACAATGTCAAACATTTTCTGGAGATTATGAGTAATAAAGAAAAAGCACGAGAGAGGGGCCAGTTACTTCAGGTAATATTTCATAACTTTAGAGGATTGCTCCACACTATATCCCTCTAATCTTTGTTCAACTTTACTTGACTTTGTACATATTACATAAAAACTGCCTTTATTAAATGCTGATTCAATAGCTCAACCAAATTTGGTGTTGTTAATTAAAGAGGTTTTTGTCCTTCTCTATGTATAGTATAATAAAAATAGCTAATCACTTCACAGACTGCTTCTACTTTTTAGGTTAAAATACAGGCCTTACTCCCAGGGGAAGGGGGATTCTTTCCCGAAATGTTTTAGCTTTGGACCCAAACTCAAGTTCTGTTTTATTGTCACAGGGCCAGGAGAGTGGAAATCATCTCCGTGCTGATGGAAACTTCAGGGAAAACAACGTTAGTGTTGCTAAACACTGAAATTACATTCTCTAGTAGTTATCAAAGAGAATCAACAACACAAGTTAAAAAAAAAAAAAGAATGCTCTGAAAGGTTATCTGACACGTTTATCTTCACCGAGGATCGTCATTTAATCTCTATGTAATGACCCTTGGGAATTTTTTTATTTTTCACTCCCAAGTGGATATGTAGAGTTTCCAAAAGGGGATAAACTATGTGGATTTGTGGAAATGACACAGCAGAGTGGTTTAGTGGTTGCAGAAACTGTTCCATAACCTCAGAATAATTCATGTTCAATTCGCCCTACAAGGATTAACAGGCACTCATCATTTCCTGTCACTCTTCTAGGGAAAACAATAGATATAAATGTATGATATAGAGTAACTGACTGTTGTCACACTTAGTGGCCAAGATTTTAGGCCCTCGGGGGTCCAAGGAAAATCCATATGTATGATCTGAGTGACAGCTGCACAGCTTACCTGAAGCAAGTGCCATTCTTCCCATCGGCCCTAATGCAGGGATATTCCACCGTCAAGATTTTATTATCAGGACACTCCATTCTAAGCAAAAAAAGGAAAAAGGAAATATGATTGATTGGCACTGTTTTCCAGCAGTGTTAAGCTACATAGTAATAAAACATGGTGTGGGGAAGTCCAAGCAAAAAGAGATCCAAGGTTGGATTTGAAAAGGGGGATGTTACAGTTTAGCATGGAATTCCCCCATATTCTAAGTTTGATACCACAGGGAATCCAAGCTATTATTTGAAAGTACAGTTACATAAAAGACTGGTGTGAATCTAGTCTGCATGTATGCAAATGCATGGCATTATTGGAGCCCAACTGATTTTTTAAAATTTAGATTTCAGTTTTTGAATTGATATTTGAGGGTTTACCCTGATTCACTTTTAAAAGTATATATGAAAAATCGTCTGTTCTTTACAGTTGCAGTTTCTCCACCTGGATAAGTTTATGCTTTTATTTGTTTTGTATTTTTGTAAATTAAAGTATACATTTTGCAGTGTTCTAATCAAATAAACAAGATACTTAATGTCTTTTGACTTGCACTTACTTGATAATAAAATTATATTGTTAACGTAAACTCTAAACTAAACGAATACAAATTTTACTGAAAAGGTTTTGGTGAACTTGGTATTGACCAAGAAAGGTTTAGAGTGGCCAGATTTACAATGGATAAATCATACAGTTTGGATATTGCTAGACTATTACAGGCAACTATTTATTTGATATTTGTGATATTGCTTACAACACTTTGACTGTCTGGTAACATTTTTCTGTCAGTTTTCAATATCGTAAGACATAACAGAAGAATCCCAGAGAATATTTTTAATTTAGAAACATAATCCCAAATAACTACTCTGACATTTTCATAAAAACTTAACAGCCAAAGAAACAGACTAATATATCAATACAGTCATATTTCCTGTGTGCACAGCCACTACTAACACTACCAGAGGTAGTAATGTGCTCGAGCAAGAAGGGCATCAATCACAGCGGTAATTTTCATTTCTCCGTAATAGAATCCGATGAACACACATACCCTGGAAACATAAATCTGAAGATGCAATGCCCATGTTTTCATGTGCTTGGACAAACGAAACTCTGAATAATTACCCCGTGTTTAACCTGTTGCTTTGCGGTTTAGTGGTTTCCTCTTGTCTTCTACAGAATATTAGGAGCATGTGCTCCATTCCCATTGACTCCTCACCTCCTGACCTACTCTCTCCGGGCATCTTAACAGCATCTGTCATATTATGTCTGAGCACAAGCAACATTTGGCTCTCCTCACCGCAACCGATTTCAACCATTTGGACTTTCCCTTTGCTTTTTGCATTTCCTTGAACATCACATTAGATTAGACGCGCTGCAGCGGTTCATCCAGGGGTCTCCGTGACAGGCTGCTCACAGAGTGTAGCAAAGAGCAGAAACCCATAAAACGTAGACTAAACTCTGCTATGATTTCTGGCACCGTATGCTAATCTGACAATGAAATAACTGTTTTGAGGTTTAATTGAATGCCAAACAAATGTAATGAGTGGAGTGGTAGCTGCCAAGAAACTTGCAGAGCTTCAATCTCACATTAATTCATAAAACCACCGTAAAGCATAAATAAACGACAAGTCAAACATTTTCGTGCAGAAATTTGTGCTACTTTTGAAACTTTTTATACTTCAAGATAGAAACGCACATGATACAACTTCTCGTAATTATGAGCGCAGCAGACATAGTTTCATCATCACACTGCCGTTCATTAACAATAAACAATATTGCTTATATGTGACCCACAACTAATATCTCTGAGACTTACCCTGAGGTGTCCATTGCAAGCGTCGTCCTGATGGAGCTGGCAGCAGATTCCCAGAGGAAAACGACACAGAAAACGCAAAATGGTAAAAGAGTCGCACCATAAAGCTGACCCATGTCCCTTTTTGCGCTCCGGGACAAATGATCTTCTCGAGTGAAAACGCCTTAACATCCGCCAAACGCCACTGTTTTCATCTGTCAGTGACCCGCGCGGGTAGTGCCATCAAAATATCACAAATCCCTGTCAAGTATCCCGCAGAGGAGACGCACATGGAGCCTGTAGGATAATAAGTGCTGCGCAGTGCGTCCGAAGCCCCCTTCCCAACTTTACGCACTAAGGCAAAGACCTCTTGGAGAGCTACTGAAGGGTTTACAGCTCACTGTGTTCTCACTAATCCCCCCTGGATTTACATTCCAGCCTCCAAAGAAGCGACTTAACGCAACTAAGTATATAACCTTACTCCCCATTGGTGGTGATGACGTTAAACATAATAATGATAAAACAATAAATTGGCTAAACAGCATACATGAACCTAAATGACCCCCAGGCTTTACCGCTGTATTTGATAAATACATTCCTTGGAAGAAAGTCAAGCACCCGTGGCGTTGTAAAGACTTTTTAAAAATGCTTTAATAAGATTGAAACTATAACTGGTGTAGGAAAAAAAACAAACTACTATGCTGGCCTGATGAACTGCTCAGAGCATACAAAAATATCAAGAAAATGCAAAAATATGTTCGCAATAAAGCAAAGCTTCCAGTTAGACATTTGAAATGTGGACATTGTGAGTTTATCTCCAAACAGTTTCATCATGTTTGGATTTCATTTTGGAAACAGCTTTACTGAGTCTGTCCTGCCTTATTCAGAAAATCAGAAATGCACTTTGACTGGTGGAGTAGAATGTTGTTTCCTAGAAGCGGCAGCCCCCTGATAGATTTTTTGGAGAGATCCATGAAACATGCATTAATAGTAATAATAGTTTTATAAATAAAGCATGTATTTGCTCTGGTCAGTGGCCTGAATTTATATTTGGTAAACATTATTTAAATTTAGATTTGAATACTTAATTCATAGAGCTCATGAGCTCTAACCTTCTAACCTCTTTGGCACCAAAATGACTTGACTTGACTTTACTTCAGTCTATTTTATTGTCTTGCTGCCATTCTATAAGACCCAGTAACGGGTTGAGTGTAATTGATCAGACACTCTTCTTTCATAGTATGCAAACGTTTGAATGTCATCTGCATACTAGACCAGGAAGTTTGTTGAGTGAGTTTGTGAAGTCTCAGAGCCAGGGAAGTATTTATTTCTTTGATGTTTGCAATATCTAGCAAAGGGTGGAGTGAATTCTAATAAAAAAGAAACAAACAAACAAATTCCTGGTGTCAGCAGAGGCTGGACTTGGTTTAGGTCCCAGAAATGAAACCACAATCTCCAAGATCGATCCAGATCTGAAACTTGCTAATTTCATGAGATGCTCAATGCATGGTTTCCAACTTACAGCCAGTCAAAGACAAATTATCTCTTCTGTTGTTGTCCTGTGAGCTAATGCAGAACACTGAAAACATTTTATATGCTGTAAATAGGCATTCAATTTCTTGCAAATTGTATAGAGCATCAAACTGAAGTCACTGTTGACTGCTGACAATCTGTCACTGTGGACAATTCTAGAACTGAACATGGTCAGTGCAATTAAAGCCCATTTGTCCATTTGCTTGGCTTGGAAAATATCCTGAAGGTGGAGTGGGTACAATTTATAATGCACCCTATATGATTTTTTTTCTCTATTTTTTTTGTAAATAGCCCCTGTGCAGAGGTCAGTTTCTATGCATACTAATTATCCACCCATTATTTTTAATCATACTTGCAATCACAGCCTGATTGCCCAACGTAACATTTGCCATGGGCTTTTAGCAGTGGATTGTGTGTCACTATCTGATTAAGCCACCATACTATCCAGCAAAATGTTTGTTATTTTTTACATTATGATAAATTTCACTATGCATCATGACATTAAAGGAAGTCTTGTTAACTGTACATTTAATTTCTTTTTATTAGGAATGAAAAAATATTCCTCCTTTCCTTTGCAGGTCTTTTATATCAGTATTTAATTCAAGATGAGAAGATTCCGTACCTTTATTTGTCTGCTTGATATATGGCTAATACAAAACAACATTAATACTAATTAGAACTCAACCTGAAAGAGTAATTGAATGAAATCAGAGCCAGATTGTGGAGTGTAGATCAAAATCTTGTTCTTACAACATGAATCTAACGTGGGGGAAAACTATTACCAATCCTGTGATACACTTTTGCAGCATATTACACATACATACATCAGTGTACTAATAATGACATATAGGAGGGTAGTTCATCTTAATTTCACTTACCCAACATAAGCTCCTACACTAAAGATTAAGAACACTTTAGGGGGTTTTGCTGCCCGTGAATGGGATACAAATATTTTAGGGAGAGCTGCTTTGTTACCAACTGCATGCCTGTGTTTCTGTGGGCAGCTTTTGATGATTCACTGGAAGAAATAGTGTTATTCATAGTTGTGAGCGACGATCTGCCCAACAGTCACCTTAGAGGGAAGCACAACACACTGGCCAGAGGATGGTCAGGCGATGTTAGCTAAGTCTGTACTCAGTGGTCTGTTACACCGTCACTCCCCTGGGTACGCGGGGTTCCTGGCCACCATTCAATAGAAACAGCTGGTTTTATTCACCGCAAATGAATCACACTAGAAATACACATGCACTCACTTACTAGCACTGTATACATGTATACACATAGTAACATGGTCTCTCACATCAAATTAAACTGCACAATCTCCTTTGGCTCCATTCCCTCTAGAATCAAATAAATTCATAAAATACATAAAGTAACATTATTACAGAACCACAGCAAAAAGGCAGCTGTTGAAACTACGGCCTCTGCTTCATTATTACGACCACACAGGCCACGGTTCCTCTTTTCCCATGAAGGAGAGTCTCCTTTCTCCATTTTCTTTGGTTGTGGTTTTTATTTAGTGTTTTTGTATATGCACATAAGCAGGCAGGAACAAATGTGTTTTTCATCGAGGTCTGAGGCTGCATTCTGCTTCGTTACCAACTTCTTGTCACTCATGGATAAGACCAGCCAGTTGTGAAACACATGAAATGAAAGACACATTCAGAGGGAATTTAAGGCTCTTAGTAAAAAAAACAGTCGGCTATTCTGCTGTGTTGCTCATTTTAAATTGCACCTGAGAAGTTAGTGCTTACTTTTATCACCTGAGCATTACTTGAATGTTGTCAATGAATAATTGCTTCTAATCGGTTAAAGCAGCTCTTTAGCTACACTGAATGTGTACTGAAGCACTTATCTAAAATATAGGTGAACAGGCAGTGCTAACTCTCAGTAGGATTTAAGACTGACCTCAAATGATTTAATGCTAAAAATGTGGTGCTTATATATCAAAGACTTTTGTTTAAGTTAACAGTTTTTGCTGTTAAACATCTCTTTGTTTTTACCAAGTCCTGCATGAGCCAAATGCACTAAAGTCACTTCAAAGATGTTTTTCATTGGTTTTGGCTGATACCAGCAAAGCATCTGAAACAGCTGATCGTTACCCACTAATGTTGTTCTTTTGTGACATGTCTAAGAATGTTGAGCATGTCCACAATGAGACATAAGGAGCTCCAGGAGTACATCCCTGAATGATATTATCTGTGTTGGATACATAGAGGACATTAATCTCTCTTAAAGCCTTGTCTTGTCTTTGAGACAAATCCATGCAAGTTGAGGCTAAACATCTGAACACAGAAACACGAGAATGAGCCATTAGAACATGTCAGGGAGCAAACAGTCAAAGGATTCATAGGCGCAGGTGCACTGTTCAAAAAGTGGGTTTTACCTAACCCCAAAATACTTAAACCTTTCATGCATGAATTATGACAACCTCAATCAGGATTTTCTTTTCATCTTTAGGCATAAAAAATATTTTTTTCAAAGAGTTTGTTACATGCCCACTTAGGTGGACAACATACGTTTTGTCTTATGAATTTGACAAATGAATAAATAATATACACTGTGTAAAAGGTTTATGTGCCAGTATACCATCATCACTGACACAAATACAAGAACACAACCTTTGAATAGCTATCCACTGTAGTGACCACTATGCGTGAAAGGGTTATAAAAGAAAAAATAAGCTAATTTGAAAACAATTTGTCTAATAATATGTGACTGCAACAGGAAAGAACTCTAATGTGGTAATGGTGCAGTATACTGTGAATCCTTAAACCTGTATGTCTGACTGATTTATTTCAATTGTGTGGCTGTTGTTACACTGTGCATGATTTAAAAAGAGAGACCTATTTTGTGGCTGTAATCATTTATTATTTGTATCTGGGTTTAAAATGTCTCAGTTGATGTTGGCAAAGGTGGAGTACATCCAGGACATGTTGTCAGCGCTAACACAGAAAAACAGCAGGTACAAACCTAAACCTTTTCCTGCTACTAGTGCTAACCAATTCGAGCTTTAAACTCAAACAAATGAAAAATAGGATTCAATCATATTCAGTCATTCTTTATAAACATATAGGTATTTATTATTAAAGTATGATGACTTTCTGTTTTCATTATTTCTTTGAAAATGTAGACAACAACGTTACTGTTTTACTTTTTTAACTAGTTGGATTTTTCATTGTCAGATATATATCCATACTTATATTGTGTTTCACGAGGTAAGTACACAGGAATACTTTTTTTATTTTGGTCAATTAGATCTTAAATGAAGTAATTATCAGAGGCATAATGTGTTAGAAAGGTTAAAAATTACTTTGACTAATTGTACTTCATTATAGTATTTAGTTGCTTATTTATTTTTGCAGGCACTCAAACTTCTTTATACTGAACAAGTAATATTTGCAAAAAACGTCTCCATTGCCAGGTAAACACAGCAGAAAAGTGATGAGCTCATACCACAGAGCTGCACAGACATAACTTATTTTTATGAGTGTGTTCCAAGACAAATCATTGTAAAGCTTCTCTGTTTTTAGCACACAGAACTCTGTGAAACTGATTTAGTAATAATTGCACTCTTCCAGTTAAAACATAGGTTGTCATAAAATACTGACAAGAAGAGTCGTGAATCATGTTTCTGGTTGGGACTCTTATGCGATTCTGTTTCTATTATATTGTGTTTAGAAAGTGAGGGAGTTTACAAAATATGCACATTGCATGCCCTTCTTATCACTGGTAAACACCTGAATCTCCAAGCCAAACAACACAGAAGTAATCCATTAGTGCCAGGAAGGACGATGTGGAAAAAGTTCTTTTGTAATCTGACTGATGTTGCACAATTCAAATGTTTTGTTGCTGGATTTAGCAGTGCTAAAATTTAATACACTGACACTTGACTGAA